TGCTCATCTTTCTCCCTCAGAACCACTGGTAGACTAAAACCACCAGAAAGAGAGAGACTTTGTGTTAACAGTGCAACTCCCTACAAGCCTACATCAGTAGAGCAACCTTAAGGTGTTCGAAAATAGTCGTAAAGGTCTACACTGCCGAAGAGATGCTGGTGGGCTGATGGATGCCAAAGCCAATTCCAGCAAGGGCTGAGAAGTGAGGAGAACTGTTTGTAGACTGGCTGCGGTGTGGATGGCTAAGAACAATTAAGACTGTTGAAGAGATGCTGGGCAATGATGGACTCAAAGGCAATTCCAGTGAGGGCTGAGAAGTGAGAAGAGCTGTACACTGGCGATGGTGGGGATGGTAATGAGCAGTGGTAGAGGAATCAACCCTGCGAGTGAAGCAGGTGTGTGCTTTCAGGCAGGGTGCCTGCTGGGGAAGCTGAGTGCCTCTGGCTCTTGTCAACAGATTTAGCCTTGCCAACCCACAGATCCAAAGCTGAGTCTCTCTGGGCTGATGAAATGGGAGCTTTAGGGTACTCATCCAAAGGGCTCTGTAATGTCACTCTTCACAGGGCAGAGTTCAGGCTGACCCAAGAAGGTAAAAAAAGCCAACGAACACAGGAAGAAGAGCTGCCTCAGTCTCAGAGGGAAGGGTCATGGCCTCTTAAGTTCCAGAGTCATATCTCTACCAGCAAGTTATGGGGCTGTTGTTTGAGTGCCAGTGAGAATGGGGCCTCAGCTGCTTTCCACAGTGAGGGACTACAGTGCTTAGCCAAGGAGCAGAAAACAACTTGTCAGGGCAAGGGGTGTAGTCACCACTGAGACTAGAAGACTTAGACCACTCAGAACCAACACAGTAGAGCTCCCATCCCAACAGGTCTGGAAGGCAGGTCTGGAAGCCCACGGTTGCAGATCTCCATTCAGAATCCATAGAATGTGGCCAGCACCCAGAGATTTTCAATCCTTGAGAGCTAATGAAATAATTTTTACTTGTTTGGTCCTCATTATTCCCTCCAGCTGCTCTCATGTGTGATGGAAATGTCTACCTGACACCTATTTCACCACTGAACTTTGGAAGCAGATAACCGACATTCTAGACCCACAGATGAAGACTAATTGTGCCCCAGCAGGAAAATTAGACTTGGAGTTGAGTCAAGACTTTTGAGATGATAGGATGCCATGACTCTCAATGACATGGCATATGCAGTTTAAAGACTAAAGAGTGCCTAATTCAAGACATGGTATACTCAATTGCTCTAATGAATCAAAAAGTTGGACAATGAATAAGGATGACCTAAAAAGAATTGATTCATTTGAGTTGTGGTGATGGAGAAGAGTAATGAATGGCCAAGAGACTTAGGAAAGAATATGCACGTCTGTCTTGGAGGAAATGCAACCAGGGTGCTCCTTAGAGGCAAGGATGGTGAAACGTTAACTCACATACTTTGGGCATGCTGTCAGGAGGGGTCAGTGTTTGGAGAAAGATACCAGGCTGAAAAAGGTGGAAAGTCAGAGAAAGAAAAATCCCCAAGAAAATGGATGGACACCGTGACTGTAAAAATGGGATTGAGTATGACGGAGGTCATGAGGATGGCACAAGGATAGAAGTTTCAGATCTATCATTCATAGGTTACTAGGAATCTTAGTGGACTGGATGCCACCTAACAACTAGAATGATCTAACCTGGTGCTTATGTAATGATGCTCTCAGTCAATCTGTTACAAGGGGATGAGGCTGGGATGCCATAGCCTCAGAGTCATGATCTGACCGCAGGGGAATCTTCATGAGGCTGTGTACTGCACTGTCTTTTATAGAAATCAAAATGAAAGAGAAGTTATTAGGGCCTCAGTGCACCAAGAAAGAAGAACTGGGAGTAATGCATATCCTTTGGACCGTGGACCCTAGACTCAGGAGAAGACTGAGGCCAAAACACAAGATGTCCAATGAATGCTGGAGCTACAGATGTTCAAAGGTGACAAGGATTGTCCTAGAACTGACAGAGAACCTTCCCAGAGAGTGTGCACTTGCTCTCTTTGAGACTCTCCTATTCTCTTTCCCTCTCTGGCACTCGCCCCCTTGCTCTTTCATTGCTTTAAGTTGGAACTCACTCATAATTGACCCTCCCATGGGGTGCTGGCACTGCAAATTGCACAGCAAAACCTGTCAATCTTTCTTCTTTGGAGCTACTGGCAGACTTGAGGTCTGGCTCTTGGATTAGCAGCACAACTCCATGGACCATGCTACCAGAGCTCCCTTCCTTTAGAGCCAATAGCTTGCATTCGAGATTCTCCACACTTACCACGGTGCAAAGCATCGCACGCCAGGCCTACTCTTCTCAGAACCATGTTAAACAACAGGAATAAGCTCTCCCACAGGGCCTCCATTTCACAAAAAGAACTGATGGGTGAGCACGCCTATCACAGGAACCCAGGCTCTTCTTTTAAACTTATCCAGATATGCGTGGGAAGAATCAAAAGAAACAGTGTTTAATAAACAACTTCACTGCACCAAGGCTCACAGAACTCACTACAGGATCAAGCCCTAAAACCTTAATATTTTATAGTAGCTACATCCCCACTTTCAGCCCAGGCCCAGACTAGGAAATTCCAGAGTAAACTTGGGATCATTAGATAAACATTCACGGTTCTTAAGAAGCCAGAAATGAGGCAGGAGCAGCTCTCCTCTCTTACTCTGAAGACCACCCGTCAGGTTGGATGTAGTAACCACAGCTATCTGACGCTAACAGTCACAGTCCTCTTCTCATCTTCCCAGGAGCTCTGTTTGTGTAGTCTGTAGGGACTGAGCAAAAATGGCTCTTCTCCATTGGTTCAAATCTACCAGTTACTGAAGGAAAAAGATGGGCAATCTCCTGCCATGTGTTACACAGCCTTGGGAAATCTACTAGAGGGTGAATTATGAGCCAGTTCTGACTTGATGGCAGTAAGGCTTGAGCATGAACTTCCCTCTAAGGACTGGGCCACCATGGAGTTTCCCAGGGACAGAACTACCCTCTAAATGGCCACGAGTAAACAAGGTCCCCACTCCTCTTAGCCTGGATGAGGTCAAGGTGTCTAGGATGGACGTGTAATAGAAGATTGCCTGTACACATCAACTAGTGACTAAACAGTCTGACATCTGGACTCTTTTCTGTCCTTCCCTTTGTCCTTCATCCTCCCTCCTTTCATCGCTCACCTTCTCTGTTTCTCTTTCATAATGGCAGATTTTGTCTTTATTGAGTGAAAAACTCTCTCTTTCTCTCTCTCCCCATCTCTCATTGCCATTGAATAGGCACTGACTCATAGCTGACCTTCCAGCAAGTTTCAGAGGCTATAAATCACAAGGAGCAGACTGTGCATCTTTCTTCCTCAGAGCACTTGGTGGCTTCAAATTCCCTGCCTTTGGGTTGAGCACAACTGCCCCTCTACTAGACCACACAACGATGCTATTTAAACAGTGAGCTAGGGGACTACAACAGCACCTATTTCACCCATGAGCCAGGCTGTGACATATGTGGGAGCAGGCCATGGGAGCCACTCAATGGGTTTGAACTGCCAACCTCTCAGCCAGCACCCAAGTGCCTAACCAATGGGCAACCAGGGTTCCCTGGAAAGAGCATCCACACAATTTATTTTTAAAATTGAAGCTTCAAGTCTTATCTTGTGATTTAAGAGAACGTCAATCATGACAATGTTTGGTTTATATTAACATATCTGCTATCATTTGGCTAAATTTTAAGTATAAATGCTTGCAGGTGAATTTAAAAATGTAGTCATGAATTTCAAAAGTCATAGTTAGGCTTTCAGTAATAATATTTTTAAAATAAAATCATCCTGCAACATAATTATAACACCTTAAAAAAAATCTCAAAACAGTACAAGCTAGCACAACACAATGAACTCACAAATACGGAGGATGACATTGAGGTTGGCTCACTACCTACTACATCTGGTACCAGTTTGTTAAAATAATGTATTATTCCATATTTTCATTTGTTTAAGCTTGGGGTTTTTTTCCTCCTTTCTTTTATTGGTTTGCTTACAAAGTTAGTATACACTGTGTTTCACGTTATTCTATATTCACATTGTGTTTCATACAATCATTCTCATGCATTATGGGGTTTTTTTCATGCATTATGTTTTGTAAAATTAATCACCTTTGGGCCCTGTCTTTTCACTTAAGCTTGTTTTTATTAACTGAAATCTAGCCATTCTAATAACTTAAGAAACAGATAAATCTAAATTTTTTTAAAAATTTTACCTACTTTTAAATAATACAAATTTAATGAAAATAGCTTGAACTAAGGTTTCTTCTTCCAGAGAAAGCAACCCCTCCCTTTCCAACACCCCACCCTAAAGTAGAAAAACACATACATATCACAACCACAAAAGTCTTCTTTTCTAAAAAGAGGTGACTCTGTTAAAGGTAATAAACAGAAACAGATTTTAATCCTGGCCAATAGCTCAAACCGTATACTAGGTTAAAATTCAAGATGTTTTTGGAATTAGTGTACAGGCAGACACACCCTGTTTACCCCCAAACCTAGTATACAACAAATACCTTCCACTTTGATTTTTTCTGTATTAGAGTTCTTGGGAAATCTAAAGTGACACTTTACCACTGTCTTTTATTCTTAAAAGCAAATGAAAGATAATTGAGTTTTTAAAAAATTACCCTCCATTATTGTAAATTCTTAAACTAAAATAATTTTGAAAAGAATAAAAATGAGGTTAAAATGCCCTTAGGATCAAGAAGGAAAGACAGCATCAGCCTATTTGATGGCTTGTGACAGAGAGCCATAATGGGGATGTAGCTGGAATATAATATACCCTTCAGCTGGGATAAAGATGGGACAGCAACAGACACATGGCCTGGCACAAAATCAATCCTGCTAACAGTCACAGTAACAAACTGTGTGACCTTAACCAATGCCACATTCACTCTCATTGAGCACATATGAAGAATTACAGTTAAGACCAGGATACACACCCGTCCCCCACCCCCTCACTCACCTCCAGCATGGGCTTGGCACTGTCATGGACTGACAGGATGTGAGTCACCTTATTCTTACTCAGCTGCTCTGCATCCCTGGCATCTATCAGAGAAGAAAGAAACCAGACACTGTGATCTATCTACAAGTTAATGGATCCTAAAGGTTAGCTGGCAAATAGCACGGAATGACTTTTCCATTTCTTTCTCGGGACTTCAAACTTGCTAACACTCAGTATAATCTAATAGAGAAGATTTAGGGATGTCAATTTTACTACACAAATAATTAAGTTTACTTCTATTTGGCATATATTTTAAAACTAAAGTGATCATCTAAAACACAGAATTTATTTCTTTTTCCTATAGTATTCCATTTAAGTACTTTTTTCTGTTCAATTATTTTTTAAATAAAATTTTATTATTTTGATTGTGATTTTAATGAAAATTTACAAATTATATTTTCATTCATTCATCATTGCACTTTTTAACCCCTCTCCTCTCTTCCCCCTCCCTCAGTTCACTTTTTTTAAAAAAATATTCATTGTCTGTTGAACAATTACCTATCTCCCCCACCCCTCAACCCAGTCCTCTTTGCAATGATATACCTCTTTTCCTGGGCTGTTGTCATACATATAATGCTTAATCCTATATTCCCTTTAGACAGTTCTTTCCTTCGTCTGTTTCAATGCAATGTTCATTATCTATCCACTCTTACCCTACTGTCCTCCTAACTCCCCATGTCAGACTTGCTTTCTAACAGTAGTGCTATACAGTATTTGTCCTTTTGTGACTGAGGTATTTCACTGAGCATGATATGCTCCAGGGTCACTTATGCTATGTTTTATAAGTTCATTGCTTTTCAGTGCTGTGTGGTATTCCATTGTATGAATATACCACAGTTTTTCCATCCATTTGTTGATGTGCACTTAGGTTGTTTCCATCTCTTTGCTATTATAAATAATGCAGTCATAAATATGGTTGTGCACATATCTGTTTGGATGGAGGTGATGGTTTCTTTCCAGTACACTCCCAGTATTGTGGAGTGGCACTGTTGGGTCAAATGGTATTTCTAACGTTTTGAGAAAGTACCAAACCGCCTACCATAGAGGTTTCACCATTTTACCCTCCCGCCAGCAGTGAATAAGGGTTCCAATCTCTCCACAATCTCACCAGTGTTTATTGTTTGCTACTCTGTAGAACTTTACTAGGGCTTCCTGCCCTCTACCTTTCTATTGTGATGTGAGTGGAAGTTTACAAAGAAAATTGGTTTTTCATTCTCTCCTGTCCATTTTGTTCTATAGCATTAATTTCAACCACAATGTAATAGCATTCTTCTCCCTTCTTATCTATGATTCTCATTTCCATCAATCCTTCTCACCTAGCCTTTCCTGCCTTTGTGAGTTTTCTCTCTGGGCACATGCTGTCCTTTGATTTGTATGATTGATGGTTCGAAGGAGTGAGTAACCCCTCTGGTATTATTGTACCCCTGGTACTGTCTATTGTTTGACTGGACCACCAGCGTGAATTTTGTTCAAAATTTAAAGGTAATGAAGGGCTCCTCTAGTCTGTCAGAGCTATAAGCTCGGTCATTCTTATGGTCATTCATAGAGTTTCCCCCACTCTATGCAGGATCTTCTGCTGTGTCCCCTTCAGAGTGAGTAGCTGTGACAGCTGGGCACCATCTAGTTCTTCTGGTCCCAGGGTTGTAAGACACAAAATGTATTTAGGTTAATACAATTTATTAATAGAGCTAGATTACTAAACATTGTATTAATGATGATTACTAATTAAAAGAAGTGAACTTAGCAGGTCATTTTGTTGTTGGCATTTGTAAAGTTGTAGACATTTAGGTTAATCTTTTACATGCAATACACAGTAATAAGGATGTTTTAAATTTTTTTTAAACAACGTTCCTTTAGTGATTAGTAATCTGAGTTTAAAGACAATATAAACACTCATTAACTATACAAAACACAGTAAATTTCCAGGTACTTCTTTAATTCAGTGTCAAAAGCAGGTACAAGTTTCCATGAGGCATGATTTTGTTTTATTATGTCTTTATATGATGTCCTTAGGACAAAAGTAAAATTAGGAAAATTTCTGAGAATTCCAAACAGAGATATTCATCTAGAATTTGGTGGCTATCTGCATATAAAATTAAGCAGACACCATGATTCTGTTCCTCTCAAATTCTTCTGACTACAGAGCAAAGGCTAAGTGTTGCCTACCATCCTTAGTTGAACGTGCTCTTTTTGAAGATAAATCAAAGGCAAATACATAGTTAGCATGTCTGTGAAGAAAACTTAGTGACATTGGAATATGCGGCAGATAGAATGTTGAATGGAGAGTAAGAAGTACAAAACTATAAATAAGCTCAATTAATGAAAACTCACAAATATGGAAAATAAAGCACTGTCTGGAGTTAGCCAAGACATTAATAATCTTTGGGAGATGAAATGCAAAGGCTTTGTTTTCTTTTTATAGTTGTGTGTGTGTGTTGTGTGTGCGTGTATGCGCACGCACATCTGTGAATAGATATAGGTGATTTATGCCAGTGTTTGAAGTTTAACATATCTAAGAACTATGTAGGGAGCTCTGGTAGCCTAGTGGGTTAAGTTGTGCTGTTAACACAAAGGTTTGAACCAATCAGCTGCTCTATGGAAGGAAGATGGGCAATCTCCTTTTGTGTGATTTTCAACTTCTGAAAACTCACTGGAGGGTCAGTTATGAGGCGGTTCTGATTCAATGGCATTGAGTGTGAACTATATGAAGGTGGTTAAAAGGCAGGATTCTGAGACCTGTGGAGTCAGGAGGGCTGAAGGTTCTGCATTTTCAACAAGGTTCAATGATTAATGCAGAAATCAAGAAACACTATGTTAAACATTCTATAGCAAGTATGCATCAGTCTTAAAAGCAGAAAACCCCCAAAACATGAAAATGCTATGCTAAGAGACAGACCAGTCACAAAAGGATGAACACTGTGTAAGACCACTATCATAAAAAAGTAGAGAGAAGTTTACATACAGAGGGGTATAATTACTGGAGGAGAAGGGCTGAGTAGAAAATTAATGAACAGACAACAAACACATATTATAATGGGTGAAGGGAAAGACAAAGTGGAAGCAATGGACAATCAGACATTGTGTGTTCAAATTAGCATTAGGAAATGAAGTATATTTCTCAAATCATAATTAAAAATGCTGGGAAAATATTACAATGTTGATTTCACTACTCTCTACATTGCTACTGACTTCCTTTCAAGCTACAAAATGAGATGAGCACAGCAGCCAGGGCCCTATCATACACAGAGACTATCTCCACCCAGCCTCTATGCCTTTTGCACTCCTGTCCTGACTCAACTATTAGATGATATGTTTGTTGGTAAGGCCAGCTCTGAACTTGTAGGCCACAGGGACTGGTCTCCACATTCTCTCCAAAATTTCATTTTCAAACCACCACCAGAATTCACTGTTTGTATGAAAGCAGTGAGACAAGGCAAAGCCAAAATGTCAGGTGTTTGCAAACCCTCCAGACTGCACGGCAGTGGGGGGGAGAGGCAAGTGAGCGGAGGCCCCACTTACGTGCATCACAAACCAGGAGCTTCCTGGTTCCAATTCTGTCCAAGGGTTTGTTTCCATTTCAGTAATTAGCACTCCTTAAAATATACCTCTACAACACAGATTCAGAGAAGTAAAATCAGTGCTCTGGGAATAAGAATGTACAGCATCCTGAAGACTATCTAACAACGCAAATGAAGCAACAGGTTGTTTGACTCCAAAGAAATGTTTGTAATTACCAGCTGTGATCCCTCTTCCTGCTTCAGACTTCTATCTTCATGGTCATGTTCATGTTCAGGGAATCCTTTTTCATTGAATGTACTATTGGCTACTTTCAAGTAGGTTTGTTGTTGTTAGTTGTAAGGTACCACACAGTTGACTTCAACTCAGGAATCCTATAAACAATATAGACTTGAATCCTGCATGCATCATGTCGATCTCCTTCATGCTCAACCCTATTGTTATAGCCTCTGGGCTAAGAAAGACCTTGGCTGCACTTTGTCCAATACAGATTTGTTTATTCTTTTGGAAGCCTATGGTATATTTAGTTCTCTTTTCAATACCACAATTCAAAGGCAAAACTTCTTCTGTCTTCCTTATTCCTTGTCCAACTTTCAGATCCATATGAGACAACCGAAAAGACTATGACTTGGATCAGGTGTACCTTAAGTTTTTAAACTGATATCCTCGCTCTTCAGCATTTTGGAAAGATGTTTTTACGTTCATTAAAAATGCGTAAAGAATGCATTTTAATGATGATCTTAGGTAATGTATTCCCCATGACTTCAAATTATTAATATTCTGGATGGTCACCTTATAACCTCATGCACCATATTAATGAGCAGTTAATAAAAAATATAAGGCTAGCCAATGGCATCACCAGTTTGCTTGCGTGCATGAGAAAACCTCTACCATTCAAGCAACCTCTCCATAGGACACAAAATCACAGTGGCATGCTTAACTCTTTACCAGCCATAAAAAGCTTCACATGGCAGGAGCACTACCAATCTCTGGGAGGAGCATGTCAGAAATGCAACCTCATGTCCTACTAACCCCACACAAATCAGAACCCACATCTCAGACCCCCAGATCCATGCATAAAACATCAAGTCCTGAGGCACTTGGGTGTTCCCCACACTGTGGAGTTTCAATGCTATTTCAGAGCCAGAAAGTATTTGTAGTCACAGGCAATCACAACAAGTCAATGCTTCGGGTCTTCCCCCTTTCCGCCTAATCTAGAGAACCATGCACCTCTGAGCCATGGTTATCTTGAGAGTTATAAAACATATTTTGAGTTAGGTCTGGCATACTTTGAACATGTTGCAAGGAGAAACCAGTCCTTGGACATCACGTTTGGAAGGGAGAAGGGACAGCACAAGAGAAGACCCTCAATGAAACGGATTGATTCAGTGACTGGGGTAATGAAGGTAGCTGTGTCCGAGACAATAAGGTTGGCATGGGATAGAGCAGGTTTCAGGGCTACTGTAAATAGGGTCGCTATGAGTTACAAGTGACTCAACGGCACATAACAACAACAACAACAACAACAACAACAACAATCATGTTTAGATTTTTGCTTGTTTGTAAAAGTAAGCCCATATTTCTTTCAAAATCAAGAAAAGCTCATTAGCAAATCCTTCACTATAAAATTCTGCTAGTTCTGTTCTTTGCCTCCCTCTAGCTCAGCATCTCTCCTGTTTCTGGCACCCCTGCTTGTTCCTTCTTTTTTTTACCTTCTAGGATCGCACATGTTGTTGTTGAGTGTTGTCAAGTTGGAACTGACTCAATGCTGATCCTCCAGTGGGCTGTCAATTGCACAGGAAGGAAGTGTCCATCCCTCTGCCTCAGAGCAGCTGGTAGAGTCAAACAGCCTGCCTTTGGTTTGGCAGGGCAACTCCTTACCACTAGGTCACTAGACTGACCTGGATCCACAAAGCCTTCTGAAAACAGCAAATGTCTCTTTCATACATGCCAGGCACTAAAATAGAAACTCTCACCTGATCCCTTCCCTCTGGTCCTGTGCATTCTGTTCCTGACGGAGAGGAAGACTCCTCAGTTCCCAGGAGGGGTGGAGATGGTGTAAGAGAAGTTTCCCATCTTAATGTTCACAATGTCCATTGTTAGGTGCAGTCAAGTCAATTACAACTCCCAGTGACCCTATGAACCACATCCTCGTCATCATATAGTGTATCACGTTGAAACCCATTGTAGCAGTCACTCTGTCAATCCATCTCATTGAGGGTCTCCCCCTCTTTTGCTGACCCTCAACTTTTTCCAATATGATGTCTTATTCCAAGAACTGACCCCTCTTGATAACACATTCAATGCAAGTCAGAAGTAGTTTCAACATCCTTGCTTCCAAGAAGCATGCGGGTTGCATTTCCTCTAGGACAGACTTGTTCTTTTGGAAGTCCATGGGATATTCAATACTCTGCAACTCTACAATTCAAAGACATTAATTCTTCCTAATACACTGTCCTACTTTCAGATGCATAGGAAGTAACTGAAAATACCATGGCGTGGATCAGATGCACCTTAGTCTTTAAACTGAATCCTTGCTCTTTAGTACTTTGGAGAGGTCCTTGACAGAAGATTTTCCTAATGCAACATGTCTTTTTATTTCTTGGCTGCTGTTATTATGGGTGTTGGTTGTGGATCTAAATGAAATGAAATCATTGACAAGTTCTGACAAGTTTAATCTTCTTCATGATGTTTTCTATTAGCCCAGTGGTGAGGATTTTTTGTTTTCTTAACATTGAGATGTAACCCATTTTGAAGGCTGTAGTCTTTGATCTTCTGCACTTTCTGCAAGGAAAGCTGTGTCACCTTGCACTTCCTCAGAGAGGAGAAGCAGCACCCCAGTCTCACAGTGATACAGAAGATGAGCTGAGGAAGCCCATCTTGAGGTGTGGTGGTCACGAACAAAACAAGCTAGTCAGGCAAAAGTCAAGCAGAATTGCCTCTAGATAAAATGAGCTGAAATACATTTGAAGAAATGAACACTATCAACACTACCCCTGGGGAGATGAGAGCAGCCAGGGGACCTGTGTCCAGCCTGGCTTTGACCCTTGGAGGGGCTGAACCAGGAAGGTTCTTCTATGCCTCCTTTTATCACTTAAATGAGAGTTGCTGTGAGAGTAAAATGCTGTGCGTTGCTTAAGAGAGCACCTTCAGGAAGTATACTGTCATCTTCACCCTCACTTCCATCATCACTCGCATCCCGTCAAACCCCAGGCTGATCCTGGGCTTCGGTCCAGTCATTTGTGACTACATCTGAACCCTTCCTTCTGAGGCCTCAGAGCCCCGCTCCACTGCACATGTCAACGTCTGCACTCAGAACATCCGATTTGAGCTAGGCCCAGCTCACCGGCTCACCATGTCCCAACAACCAGCAAGATCAGCTGCTTACGCTGCAGGCAGAGATGGACCACAAAGCCCCAGTCACCCTATAACACTTACATTGGTTTCACACTTCCCTAGGCTTTGTGGGCATCTTCAAACAATTAAGGCTTCCTCCATCGGTGGAGAGTCAATGGCATCTGTGTCAAGCAGTAAAGAGCAGCTGAGCTGGCTGCTACACTGTCCTTCCCAGACCTCATCCTGTCTCCTTCTTCAGCTTTCCTGTTGTCAGCTAGTACTGAGGCTGACAAGTAGCGGCCCCTGGAAAGAGCCCCAGAACCTGGGATGTTGAGGGGTGGGAGTTCTGTAGTTGGAGATATCCCTGGGTATTAGAACGTCAGTCATAACTCACTGAAGAATTTAAAAGGTGTTATTGTTAGGTGCCGTCAAGTTGCAGACGACTCATAGTGACCCTATGAACAAAAGGCCTAAGCGCTGTTCACAGAGTTTCTGGAGGCAAGCCATTTTGGAAGTGGATGCACTCCTGCTTCCAAGCTTGTTTTAATCGGGAAGCTCCACCAAACACTGTTCACCATGAGTAACCATTATCACATTTGACACAGTGTTTAGTATCACAGCAATACAAAGACCAGTGCTATACCACCTAGAAGAATGTTTGACAGGAAAACAATTCGAACCAGGCCTGAGGGCTGCAGATGAACAACACATAAAGGAGGCCACTCAGAGTAAAGTAAGAGGAAGGAACGAAAACCAGAAGGGCAGGAGAAAGGACAGGAGGACAGGATGTGGAAGCAGCATCACTTGGTTAGCAGCCCAGCACTACCTCCTCTGGAGGAGGCCATCAGAGCTCTATGATCCATCTTCACGTGTTCCTCTACTGGCTGCTGTGCTGCAGGGAGATGAACTGCTTTTATAACAAGAAAGACAAATGACTGATTGAGTAAAAGACTCTTCCTGATCCCAGGTAACACTGGCTTCACTCACTGGTGAAAATCACAGGTCTCTTTAAAAGAGATACAACTGTTCATCTGCTAATTACTTCTTATGCACAGGAAAGGTAGAAAACTAATAAGGAAGACAGAAGAACGGATGCCATTGCATTGTGGTGTTGGAGAGGAATACCGAATATCCCATAGACTGTCAAGAGAACAAATACGCCATCTCTGGAGAAAGTGCAACTAGAATGCTCCTTGGAGTCAAGGATGGTGAAACTTTGTCTCACATACACGGAACATTTGGTTAATAGAGGCTGGTCCTTGTAGAAAGACATCATGCTGGGACAGGTGGAGGGTCAGAGTAAAAGGGAAAGACCCTCAATGAGATGGATTGACACCGTGATTGTAACAATGAGCTCAAGTGTGTCAGAGATGGTGAGCATGGCACAGGGCATGGCAGGGTTCAGAGCTATTGTTCATAGGGTCGCTATGGGGTGCAGTTAACTTGATGGCACCTAACAATGACAACAGACTAGCCTCCACCAGCAAACACAACCAAACAACCTCAGCTGTGGCCTAAGGGCTCTGTAAAGCACTGGTGACACTGGCCTGACGTGCCATCTCATAGAAAGATAACTTCCCACCACAGTGCACACCCCAAGCTGGAGTGCAATCTCCCAGACTACCTTTGATGTGTACAAATCTGCTCCCATACAATCAATAAATGAAAATCAGTAAAGAAACTACAACATATTGAAGACCCTGGAGCTAGCAAGGCACTTGACTGGAACCTAGGGCCAGACTGGTAGACTGAGAGGCCAAGGTCCCTGCGGTTTACATGGCACTACCTCTTGTGCCTACTCCCAAACCTTTGCTCATCTGGGGTGAGATGTGGCCTCATCCAGCCTTCAGAGCAGCCTGGGAGTGAGGTCTGAGCTTACACCATGATACAGAACTATGTCCTCATCCCTCCCTCTCCATGCTGTCCACTGCATGGCATTTCTCTGTTCCTGACAGTCCTGATCTAGGTGAAGTTCTGCCCTTGGTAAAGGGTGGACAACAGACAACAGTCAATTAATGCCAGCACAGAAGGCCTTCTGCCCCTGGAGGGTGTGTGGTCACACTGGAACATGGCTAAATGAAACCCCAGACGAGGAGTTACTCTGTGGGTTCAGCAGATATACACAGACTTCACTGTGGGCTCTGAACATCTTCATAAAGCTAGGCATAATGTCTCCTTAAGAGCAGATAGCATTCTAGGAGTAAAACCAAAACTCTCATATACTATTGAGAAAAGTATTGAGTTTGACTGATAGCTACTAAGATTTTAAATGTGTGAACACTTTCATCTAGTAATTCTACTTCTACTAATGTGTCCTAGACTCTGTTTCCAAACATGAAAGCAGTTAATAATAACTCACTAAAGAACCCCCCAAATGGTTTCTGCTGGTAATGAACTCCCACACCACAGGACCCAGGAACCACAGAGCCATGTGGCGCTCTCAAAAAGGCACCGCTTACTAATTTTGTAACCATGCTATCTTTAGCATGTTCTAGTAGCAGCTTGCAGCTGTCAGCTCCAGTGCTCAGCTCCTTCCATAGCAAATTAGGGCTCCAGGAGTTCACTAGGGAGAAGGGGAGAAGAGAAACACCACACAGAAAAAAATGTTGTCATCAATGACACTCAACTCACAAATTTATGTACCAGAGGACAGACAACAGAACACAGTGCTGCAGACTCTGACTTGGTCAGAAAAGGAGCCTATCAGTTTGCCTTTCTCCATATTAACAGAGGTGAGCACTCGTGTATGCAAATCTCCTAGGCTCCTCTTATCTTCTCAAGTATCCTCAATCCCCACATCAAGAAAACAAAAATCCCCCTCACTGGGCCAACAGGCAACATCATGATAGAGAAAAGTTTGAGGTTGTCCATTTTCCTTTTACTTGAGTTCAAACTCAACAACCATAGTAAAAGCAATCACAAAATCAAAAGCTGAGTTGTACTGGGTAAAGGTGCTGTCAGGGACCTCTCCAAAGTGCTAAAGAACAAGGACATCAGTCAAAGACCAAGGTGCACCTGATTCAAACCCTGGCCTTTTCAATTGCTTCCTCAAAGTTGGACAATGAATATGGAAGAAGCAATGTCTTTGAGTGAAACTTTTCTCCACATATTTTGGAAATGTTATTAGGAGGGGTCAGTTCTTGGAAAGAGACATCATGCTGGGATGTGAAATGGTGGAGCAAGAAAGACCCTCAACAAGAGAGACTGACACAGTGACTGTAACAATGGCCTGAGACGTATATAACACTGGTGAGGACAGTGCAGGAGAGAGCAGAGTTCAGATCTATTGTTCTCAGGGTCACTATGAGTTTCAGTTGACTTGACGGCACCTAACAATAATAGTATCATCTCCAATATTAAGGAGTTGGAGTTTTCACTTACATTGCCCTGTGCCTTCTGGCTGGGGCAGGAGCCAGGGGCCTTGTGTTCCTCCCTGAACTACATACCGTCATCAGAGATGGAGGTACTGAAGCCAATGGCTGGCTGAAATAAAATCAGTAAAGACAAACATGCCACAGGGAAAGGTGTAGACAAGTTGTCAGTAGGAGGTGCCATCTGCCAGAAATGGCCATACATTTGGCTGAGGTGATTAAAGCAATTAACTAGAAAACAAAAGTGATGAAAGACATACAAGTATTTCCAGGCTGCCAGATGTGCCCTTAGCCCTCGCTTGGTGGCAGGTGTGCAGGGTGGGTGGGGCGAGGACAGCTGGCTTGGAGGAATGGCTTTTCTCAGCTCACACTGCCACCAGGCCTTGGCTTAGGAGCTGGGGCAGGGCAAAGCCGGGCAGACCCATATTCAGGTCTATACTATGATGCCAACACACTGCAGAGGTCTATAGGAGACCCCCAAAACATGAACTTACCTTTAAAGTTGCCGATGTAGAGGCCAGGCAGGATCTATGAAGAAGACAGACATGAGACATAAGCATCCACATAGCCGAAGCTGACCCTGGTTCCCACATCAAAATGGGCTATCAAATCCACCTCCCAGCTCCCTGCCGTCCCCAGAACCCTGTTCTTCATGCTCTGCAGGGCTGCGCACCTGCCTACACCCGCCTGCGGCTCGTCAGGCTGAGGCGTTCAGACCACTCACAGCACACCTTCTCAGCCCTGCTGCTTCAGGGAAAGCCTAGCTTATTCTGCTGCACCCACCAAGATGGACAATGACCTGGAGTGGCTTACTCCCCACAGCAGATCTCTTCAAGAATCTTCCAGTGAGTCAGCTGCCTTCCTGAAAGCTGATGGAAGGAGTATATGTCACTTCACAAAGACTCCATGGTGGTAAATGTTAGAGCTGCCGTCCAAAAGCAAGGACCAGTTTGAGATGTCATGGCTTTTACTGACCACATGGGACTCTCTGAGAGCAGTAGTGCTGTAACTGCTTACACTGCAGGTCAGGGTCAGATGACCAGCATACTATGTGTGATCACTCCAGCTAGCCCAGGTCCCATTCCCAGAGAGCACCAGGATACCATGAGGGCAGGTCACACCCCTTCTGTGACCATGGACATGGGAGACAATGTCTGGAAGCCAAACAGCATCTGTTGCCAAAACCCTCAAGTCTCTTTCCTGGCAGGAAGGGTAGTGTACTACTATGTTGTTTTTGCTTCAAGTCAAGAAATTAAGACAGATTAAATGGGCTCTTTCCATCAGCTCTTGGCTACACAGAGCTTATTAGCTGCATGTGACCTATGTTTCCAGGTCCTCTTCCTCACGAGAAAGCTGCCCATCAAACTGAAAGCACAATCACAGCATCATCATTGGATGATAGGGACTGTGTGTCCAAGTCACAGCATGGTAGATAGGTGACCACTGGGCACACAGTAGTGACCATGACGGGGAAGCAGCCACAGCAAGGTGGGCAGGTGAGCACTGGGTACAACAGTAACCATGGGGGTGCCCCAGTCATCGCATGATGGACAGGTGACCACTTGGCACACAGCAGTGACCATGAGGGTATCCCAGACACAGCATGTGGACTGGTGACCACTTGGTACACAGCACTAGTGACCATGAGAGTGCCCCAGTCGCAATGTGGTGAACAGGTGAGCACTGGGCACACAGCAGTGACCATGAGGGTGCCCCAGTCACAGCATGGCAGACAGTTGAACACTGGGCACACAGTAGTGACCATGAGGGTGCCCTACTCATAGCATGCTGGACTAGCTAGCACTGGGCACACAGCAGTGACCATGAGGGTCTGGTGTTGCCCTTGCAGAGCTTTGCAGAGGGAATGCACAGGTCAGGAGTGTTCAAGGCAGTCACCCAACAACTCAGGGACTACAGTGAACTTCCTGAGGCCTGTGCAGAACAATGAAGCAGCTTGAAGCAGTCCTCTGAGGCACAATAGCAGATCTCTACTGGTCTGGAACAAAAGAGCAAGAGGAGTCAAGAGTAGGAGTAAGAAATACGTGACTAAGCATATCAAGATTGTTGGAGAAAAGACTGAAGTTGTCTGTGATTTGGATCCACAATTGGTATCCATGGTAATAGTAGTAAAAAAGATGAAAAGTTGTGTTTCATTGGGAAAATTTGCTGTCAAGGACCATTCGAAAGTGCCAAACAGTAAGGAAATAATTTTAAATACTAAGATGATATTGATTCAAGCCAGGGTGTTTCCAACTGATTCCTATCCATCTGAAAGTTGGACAATGAATAAAGATGACAGAAGAACTGATGCTTTTGAATTGTAATGCAGGAGAAGAGTACTGAATATTCCACAGACTGTCAAAAGTACAAACAAGTCTGTCCTAAAGAAAGAGTAACCATGGTGCTCCAAGGAGGCAATGTGGTGACACTTGATCTCATACTCTGGGCATGTCGTCAGGAGGGGCCAGTCTTTGGAAAAAGACATTATGCTGGATCCCTATGAAACACAGACAACTCTATTCAGCATCCATGTCATGAGACCAGAAGAACTAGATGGTGGTTTGTTGCTGTTGTTGTTATGTGCCGTCGAGTCAGTTGTGACTCAGAGCGACCCTATGTACAACAGCTCTAAACTCTGCTCTGACCTGTGCCAATTGCACTGTCTCTGATATACCCATTCCGATTACCCCAGTCATTGAATCAATCTCCACCTCATAAAGGGCCTTCCCCTCCTGCGCCTGCCCTCCACCCTCCCAAGCATGATGTCCCTCTTCAAGGACCGGTCCCTCCTTACAACATGTTCAAAGTATGTCAGACAAAGCCTCAGAATCCTTGCCTCCAAGGAGCAGCCTGGTTTAACCCTCTCCCGGATGAATCTGTTTATTTTCTTAGCAGTCCATGGTACCCTCAACACTCTTCTCCAGCACCACAGCTCAAAGGCATCAATTGTCCTTCTATCCTCCCTAGTCATTGTCCAATTCTATGATGCATAACAAGTGATTGCAAAGACCATGGCCTGTATCAGACACACCTTAGTCTCCAGAGAGACACCATTGCTCTTCAATACTTTGGAGAGGTCCCTAACAGCTGACTTTCCCATCGTAATACATCTTTTAATTTCCTGGTGCTGGTGCCAAGGGTGTTGACTGTGGAGCCAAGCAGACTAAAGCTGTGAACAATCTCAATCTCTTTACCATCCATCCTGATGCTGCCAGTTGGCCCAGTGGTGAGAATCTTTGTCTTCTTGATATTGAGCCTCAATCCATATTGGAGGCTACAGTCCTTGACCCTCTGCAGCAGGTGCTTCAGGTCCTCCTCAGTTTCAGCAAGCAGGGTTGTATCATCTGCATAACGCAGATTGGTGATAGATCTTCCACCAATTTGCTCAAAAGTCCCATAGAAGAACCCTAATCGAAAGAGGGGAAATGTGGAACAAAACTAAAAATTATCATTGACTACAACTATTTGGAGTAATAGAAGACAGATGAATCCTTTAAATTACTGTCCTTAGAGAATCTCTAAACTACAAATAAAAAATGTCCCTCAAAGCTTTCTTAAAACCAAAAGCAGTTTAACTACTGAAAAAGGTTTGTCTTGATCATAATACTCGTTTAAGAACTCTCTCCATGATCACAAAGGGAACTCTGGTAGCCTAATGGGTAAGAAGTTGTGCTGCCAACCCAAAGGCAGGTGCTTTAAATCCACCAACTGCTCCTAGGGACACAAGATGGACAATCTTCTCCTGTGTGGTTTATAGATACCAAAAACCTGCAGGTGAGTGTCAACCACAAATCAGTTCCAATTTGATGGCAAGGAGTAAGTGATTGATATAGGATCAAATGAACAACAGCAAATCAAAAGATTAGACAGAAATCTTACAGAGTAGTGAGTTTATGTTAATAGGTGAGTATCATGGGTTGACTGAATTATGTCCCTCCAAATTATATGTTGTAAATTCCAACCTGTAAGCCTGTGGTTATGATCCCAGTTGAAAATGGGTTCTTTGTTATATTAATGAGTTTAGCGTTATGCTGGGAAAGGTAGAAGGTCTGAGCAGAAGAGGAAGAACCTTAACAAGGTGGATAGAAACCATGACTGATGACGGTAACAACAACGGCTCTAGCATATCAGAGATTGTGAGGACTGCATGATAGGACAAGTTCAGATCTGTTATTCACTTTGTGTTGCAGTCTACTCGACACACCTAACAAGATCAACTACTTTATCTTATCTATGAGTAATCTTACTAATTAGGCTTACCTCACGTCAAAATCAGTCACTTTTGGGATGAGTTCAGACAGATGTTAAGGCACATGGAGATCTCCAAGGAACTAGACAGCAGAAAGTGAAGAGACAAGTCTCTCCAGAGCCAACAGAGAAAGAAAATGTTCTTCTCAAGTCAGCACTCTGAACTTAGATTTCAAATTTTCTAAACTGTGAGAAAATAAATTTGTTTGTTAAAACCACTCATTGTGGTATTTGCCATAGCAGCAGTAGGCAGCTTAGACAGGGAGGAATCTGGAAGGAGGATAAATAAGGACCCTCAACTCAAAGAATGTAAATTCAACATCACTGAATTGGACATGTAGAAACCACTGATTAGAGTATTTTGTTATGTGTATTCTCAACAAATAATTCTCTGCATGGTTTTTCAGGAAACGTGTGTGTAAGGATTGTATCCTTTCTCCATATCTATTCAGTTTGTACTCTGAGCAAATTATTGGAGAAACTGGATTATTCAAACAAGTCTGTGACGACAAATTGCAGGGAGATTCATCAGCAATATGCATCATGAAGATGACATGACCTGCTTGCAGAAACTACTAGAAGAGAATTCGAAACACTGAAGAAGATCAAAGACTACAGTCTTCAATATGGATTATATTTCATCATTAAGACAACAAAAACTTTCACTACTGGATCAATAGCCCCAGAACATGATAAATGCAAAACAAAATTGAAGTTTTCAAGGATTTCACTTTACTTGGATCCAAAATCAATAGCCATAGTAACACCAGCCAAGAAATCAAAAGACTTACTACATTGGGAAAACTTGCTGTCAAGGAAATGTCCAAAATGATAAAGAACAATGATGTTGGTTTAAGAATTAAGCTGCACCTGATCCAAGGCAAGGTACTTTCAATTGCTTCCAGTGATCTGAAAGTTGGGCAGTGAATCAATTCTTTTGAATTGTGGTGCTGGAGAAGAGTATTGACTATTCCACGGACTGCCAAAACAACAAGCAAGAAAGAGCGACCAGAGTGTTCCTTAGGGGCAAGGAGGATGAAACTTGGTCTCACATACTTATGGTGTGCTGTGGGGAGGGGCCAGACCTTAGAAAAAGATGGCATGCTGAGAAAGGCTGAAGGTCAGAGAAAAGAGAGGTAGACTGAGGTAGACCCTGACAAGGAGGAGACTGACATGTTGTTGTTGCTAAGTGCCGTTGATTCGTAGATGACTCATATTGACCCTATGAACGAAAGACCTGAACACTTGTATAACGTCCATTGCTTCTCCAAGATCATAGA